GTTCAGCTGCTAACCACAAGGCTGGTGGTTCAAACTCACCAGTGGCTCTGTGGGAGAAAAAACCTGGTGATCTGCTTCCATAAAGTTTACAGCCAAGGAAACCCTATGGGGCAGTTCTACTCTGTCACATGGTATCACTATGAGTCAGAATTGACTCGACGGCATCCAGCAACAACAACGCCTGTGTCCACATTCTGCAGGCACCTCTACTTAAGGGTGTGACATTGGAAAAGTCACTCTACCTCCGTGACTCGCAGTTGCTTCATCTCCAAAATGGGGATAATGATTTCAATTTGTAGAGCTGTTATGGTGTGTGTGTTCAGTGCCTGGTAAAGGTTTCCAGCAAAACTTGGGCCCTCAATAAACATCATTTGAATTTGAATCTAAATTTCTGTATTGTAAAAGGCCCTGTACTGGGTGTTGAGGATGTCTACGAAATGAAGAGAAGCAAGCTAATCTGTCTCTAAGCCCATAATTAGATTTCTCGTACCTTTTTTACAAGGTCTTAAACTGAGAATCTTGCTGAGTATTGGGGTATCAGTTCCATAAGTAGCCCTCAGTGATGTGCATGTTGGTTCTCCGTGGCCTCTGGTAAGTACCCCCAAAGGTTGAACTGTTGGACACATAATTTTTGGCATGGTTAGGAGTGTCAGCACTGATAGCCCCATGAGGACAAAAGAAGTCAGTGAGTCTCCACCAGAAATGAGCACCAGCCGGGAAGAAAGTTGGGAGTCCAAAGAAGGAGGAGCTTGGGCAAGTTAGAAGGAAGTTAACCAAGCTGTTGCAACATGATCGGGATTCAACAACATTGGGGAGTCTGTAGGTAGACCCGCCTGTTCTGTCCTGAAGCTTTTGATCAGGAAGGTCTTATTATGTTGTTGTTAGGATTGTCGTCATTGTTATTTAATTTTTGTGAAAGTATACACAGCCAAAGATACACCATTTCAACAATTTCTACATGGATAATTCAGTGACATTGATTATATTATTCAAGTTGTGCTACCATTCTCGCTATCCTTTTCCAAATTAGTCCACCACCATTGTCTTAAACTCCTGCCCCCTAAGCTTTCCATCCACCTAACAACTAGAATTCACTGGATTTACTTAATTAAGGGATTGTCGTGCCTGGAGCATTTGATGAAAATCTTTCCTGTGCAAAATGGCAAGTAGTTGGGAAAAGATACAGACAAGAATGAGGGGCACTCATAGGTGTGAACCTGCGGGGATGGGGAGGAAAGGAATCTGGAAGATGGAGACACCCTTATGTGGTTATTGAGAAAATGTGGGTTTCAAAATGATCTTAAAGGACTCTTGGTTTAGCACTTTGCACCCTCCTTCCCAGAGAGAGAAAGAGGAACAGTGTGTATTATGAGTTTCTCACATTGCTGCCTTTTGCTTGGCAGTGTGATTCCAGGGACCCATTAGGACTTTTCTTCCCATAGATTTACCATGAACTCTTCACTGTCAGCCCATGGGAGGCCTGATACGGTATTTGGCCACATGATGGATTAGAAATAACTTGAACTTTAGAGCCAGTGGGCCTGGGTTCAAATTCTACCTCTACCATTTATAGTGAAACCTGTAAGAGCTGGAACTGGACGGGACTGTCTTGTTTTTCCAGGTCTCACAAATTTTTTGCCTTTCACAGGATGTAGTCTTACTACTTTTCTATCATCCGTTTTAGTAGAAAATATTTTTTTAGTTTTCCTTCTCTGACAGGTTTCTGTCTTACACAGGTTCCAGCTTTTGCAGGTTTTACTTTATAAGCCATTAACCTTAGGAGTCCCTTACAAGCTATTAAGGTGCCTGGCTGCTAACCAAAATGTTGGAGGTTTCAGTCCACCAAAGTCCTGGTGATCTACTTCTGAAAAATCAGCCATTTGAAAACCCTATAGGGCACAGTTCTACTCTGACATACATGGGGTCGCTATTAGTGAGAATTGACTCGAGGGCAAGTGGGTCACCTTAGGAAAGGAACTTACTTTTCAGATACTTGCATCAAGAAAGTAATAATACTACTTTCTCATAGAGTTGTTATAAAGATAAAAATAATGTATGTAAAACACCTGACAGTATCTGGCATATAAGTACTTGCTAAAAGATACTTATTATTTAGGGTATGAATTGTGGTTGAGTTTATACTATGAAAAATTCTGAATTGAAAAGTAGACTTGTGAGGGACACTCATTTCAAGTGCATCACAGGTGCAGAGAGGGAATTAAAGCAGAACTAGCTAACACTTGTAGAGCACTTATTCTGTGCCATGCTCTGTGCCAATAAGCACATGACTATGAGACGGATCGCTATGAGTCGGAATCAACTCGACGGCAGTTTTGTTTTGTTTTGTTTTTTTGTATGAGATGGAGGCTGATATTCCCATTGTACGGGTAAAGAGCCCAAGGCCCAGAGGGACACATGAGGAAATGGTGGTGCCAGGATTCAGACCCTAGCAGACTGACTCCAGAGCCCGTGCCTTCAGCCCCTCTACTACCGTGCCTCAGGATGATAAGAGGTCTCCAGGCATCTGTGAAGAATGGCTAATGGGAGAGGGATTATAAATCACCAACATAAAGACCAAAGGAGTAAAGCCTAAGTCCTCTTCTCAGTTTTCCTTCTTTCATGCACCTTGGTGAGTTTGTATTTTTGGGAAAAGTGAAAAACCGCCTCTCATTCTGAGAGACGTGGAGAGGTGCTTACTGTAGAATCTGAAGTTAAAATATTTAGAACTAGAATGCTGTTGTCTGACTCCTCCGTTACTTCTGCTCTGTACAGACAAGATGCAGCAGCCCCATTTTTGAACTTCCGTTCTCTGTTAGCTGAGACCTGTGGCAATGCCTTCCTCTTTTCAGGCTAGCTGATTTTCAACAGCAATAACCACACGTCCTTCCTGTCCCAGAAATAAGTCTTGCCACACTCTCGACTCTGTGTGCTGTGAACACTACATTCTGCACTGCACGGGGCTCTGCTACCTCCACCCTGCTGAAGTCACAGCTCCACTGGGTTAATTGAACTCTCAGAGAGCAACTTGAAAAGAAGTATAGGTACATGAGAACAAGATAAATGGTTTCACGCTAATATAAACAAGCATTACATGATATCTAAACTGTTGAAAGATTTTGTGCTCAATATTTTATTCAGCAGAACACTTTTTGTAACAATAAGGTTGATTAGAGAAAGCTCGGAAAGTGCTTCAAGTTAGACACATTCTGATTGTTTATCTCAAGGATAAAATAAAATGGTAAAATAGGGATATAAGAAGAAAGAGAAATTGAAGCTAGGACCTTGTAAAGAGTATTTGACATCATTTTCCTCTTTGTGTTAAATATAATTCAGCATTTCTCCTTTTCATACATTTTTGGTTTTCTATCAACTTGTTTTTTTTTTTTAAAGGGCTCAAGACTAGCACAGACCTAGAGCAGATTTAAGATGCTCTGGTGTATTTTTTATTGTTCGTTTTAACCAAATAAAGAACTCTGCTTAAGATCCTTGGATGCCTTCTTACTATTACCCTGAGGCCAGAGTGAAATTACACCTGCCATTTGCAGTGAAGTTTTAGTCACTGTAGTCCCTTTTTGACCTTCTGCTTCTTGGGCTGGTGTGGGGGAGGCAGTTGTGGACAAGGCTCTGTAGATACCGTGTCTGCTGGGTGTGCACTTGTTTAGGTACATTGTATTCTCACAGGCTGAGAAGCTAAACCAAGAGCACAGCAACACCAAAGAGTGCTACTCAGGGGTATTCAGCCTTGTCACCTCCTAGAGTAAGTGGGTTTGGGGTGCATTAGTTGGGGGGCAGCCGAGCAGTTGTGTGGTTTTGCTTTACTCTTTCTGCAGCTTAAATGGGGCTATCCAAGTAAAACATGTTTAACTTTTCATCATATTACATGATGGTGACCAGAATTGCAGGTGCAGAACAAGCCGTTTGCTCTTCCAAATGGGGGCTTTGGAAACGGCGTTAAGGAAGGCTGATATGTAGATGCTTATGGTTTTGCTCTTAGTATCAGCCCCAAATATTTACTGAAGCTAAGACTAGAAAAGGCAGATCTCCCCCCCCCCCACGCCCCCCTTTCCCTCTTAAACTTGTGATTGTTTAGAACTCAAGTGCAACATCTGGAAGTCAGATATACAGAGAGCAATTTATGGAGTGTGAAAGATTTGAAATATTCAGTGTCCTTTAGCAGGAACTCAACTTTCTGGGGCTGCATTTTTTTCGGCACAAAGCAGGCAATTCTGAGATCGCCTTTGCCTCTCTGAATTGTACCCTTTGTACCGGGGCCCCATAAACAATGTGCTTCTTAAACGAGAGCCCCCTCCGAGCTCCTAGCCCTTTTCTCCAGCGTGGGCAGCCAATCAGCTGCACCGAGCCGCATAGCTGGAGCGCTTTCCATTCTGAGCAGCAACAACGTACTAATTTGATGCACACATGGATGCCTCGCGCACTCTGCAAATTCATCACCAGCATCTTGCATTAGTCATCTGACGGACTGCCAAGTGTTTCATTTTCTTTTCATGTGACTTTATTATTACTACCTCTCTCCTCTGTTCCAAAATCCTCCAAAAAGGGGATTGGGTGGGGGGATCTAGCAGAAATCCAGTCTTGCCTTTCCGTGTGATAAGCCAGCGCAGGGCTGATAACACTGCTGCCTCTGCCGCCGCCAATGCGTTGATGGCAGCCTTGCAGAGCGAGACCTGCACTTAACTTGCAGCTGCTTCTTCTGCCCGGGCTTCAAGATGTCCACACCCTGGGTGACAGCCGGCGGGGCGCTGCCCTGTGCTTGGGCAGTGATGCTGAACAGCAGCCTGCAGTGAAAGCCTCGCCGACGAGCAATGGAATGGTGCCTCTGCTTTGTTATAGTTCATAAAATTTCTACGACTCATTAGGCACTTTCCCTCGTGCTCCTCATCCTCCTCCTTCCGCCTCCCCAGCCCCCACCCCTACTATTTTTTTCTTCCTGTCCCTCACCGTGCGGCACTAACTCTGCCTCCCGGTTCCGTTTTTGACAGTAACGGCACAGCCAACAAGATGAACGGAGCTTTGGATCACTCAGACCAACCAGACCCAGATGCCATTAAGATGTTTGTCGGACAGATCCCCAGGTCGTGGTCGGAAAAGGAGCTGAAAGAACTTTTTGAGCCTTATGGAGCTGTCTACCAGATCAACGTCCTCCGGGACCGGAGTCAGAACCCTCCCCAGAGTAAAGGTACCGACTGCCCGGGGCGCGCGCGGGGCGGGGGGTTTTCCGCCGCACTCCATGGGCATGGGCCGCCGGCATCGCAGGGCTGCTTGCCACCCTGGCCCCTCAGGGCAGAGCCTCCAGAGTGTCTGGGCCGCAGGAGGGAGGACAGGGCACCCGCACAGGCTCGCCCTCTGCCCTGGGCAGCTCCTCCGGGCTCCTCCCTGCGCCCCCGGCGGGACAGGTGGGACCGGCCGGCTGGCCAAGGAAGGAGGAGGAGCCGAAGCAAGGCCCGCGGGCGTGCGGCAAAGAACGCGAGGCGGTGCAGCTGCCGCCTCTGTCCAGGCGCGTGATTGCTCTCCTGAGGTCACTTTCTAAGCAGTTTTCTAGTCAGTGCAGGCTTTTCTCGGGCGGGGTAGCTCCCTCTCTGAGGCGTTTCTCAGCTTTTTATTTCATGAGCTCTTCTGCCCCTGCCTTCCCTTTATTGCCCGTGTAAATACAATTGCATTTTACTTTCACGTAACCTGTAGGGGTCTCGAAATGTCTTATAAACAATTAGCGTGATGCCACTGGTGTGAGGAAGCAAAGGCCTCACTTTTAGGAGGGACATCAATTTCTGGGGTTTAGATGGGGACCATTAACTAAATTGTGCCTTTTTTTTTTTTTTTTTTTTGAGGGGGGAGGGAGGTAGTGCTGTAGTGTCTTGAAATAGCACACCTTCAGAGATGGTTGTGCTTTACGCTCTTGTTGCTGGTAAGATTAAAGTGCACAATCTGGTGGTTGTCATTGCCACCATTTTAAGATTAGAGTGGGGTGATCAGTTATTAAAATAGAGGTCAGAAACCATTATACCAGGTTGATGCTTCTGTGTATTGGAATCAGACTTCGTAAGCTTTGCACAGACAATTTAAAATTATCTCCTCTGCTGCTACCAGTTCGTCTCCTTTGGCGTTTGAACCCTCTTGCTGTAGGAATTTTTGTTTTCTCTGCCCTTGAGCTCTCAGTCTTCCTCCTCAGGGCTCCTTCCTCTTTCTGTGGGTGTCACAGTTTCTTTTTCTCTGTGCTTTTGATATTTCGGTCCGGCCTGTTGTTTTATTTCTATGTTGCTTTTCATAAGAGCTCCTGAAAGGTTATTGTTTGGCTTGTACATACACTTTACTTGGGCATGTGAGCACTGGTGCATACTTTATGCCTTTTCCTTACTGACAAGTTGAAGAATGGGACTAAGTAATCTTTAAGGCTGTGATATTCTGTGACTCTGAGAAATGTTGGGCTCTCTCTTGTTCCCTACAATTGCAGAGGTCCGATGATATTTTCTAGAGCCTTTTAAGGAATTTGAAAACCGCTAGCCAGTACTAAAGGAGCCCTGGTGGTATAAACAGATAAGTGCTTGGCTGCTAACTGAAAGATTAGAGGTTCGAATCCACCCAGTAGTTCTGCAGGAGAAAGACCTGGTGATCTGCTTCTATAAAGATTACAGCCAAGAAAACCCTGTGGAGCCGTTCTACTCTGTTACATGGAGTCGCTAAGAGTCAAAATCAACTTGATGGCACCTCACAACAGCAAGCCAGTATTCATTTTATAAAGATGAACAGACGTGTCAGATAATGCTCATAAGACTCTAGTTTTCATTCTCAAAACATACCAAATAACAGCAAGATTGTTTTTAAAAATAACATAGGTGGAATTTTGTCACCACAAACTTGATGGTCCCATAATTTGAAAAACAGAAAATTAGATCTCTAAAAATCAGGGGGATTAAACACATTACAATTAAAGCAATGTTGAGAACCTTTATTATACATATTCTGGAAGTATTTATTTACATATTTTCTAAATAGAGAAGACTCGAGTTGGTCATAACACTTAACTTTCACACTTTCCTATTGGGGTAAACTAGTGTAACATACCAGACTAGAGCGAAAGGATCACTGAATAAGGGCCCTCCCACCATCTAGAATGGTGCCCACAGAAAACTAGGCCAGAGGCAGTAAACTCGTACTTTAGAACAGTAGCCGTATTCTGTCCTTCGCTAAGAAACCATGCATCTAATTTTGGTTTATCAACATTTTTCAAAGTGACTTCTGACATAATGATTAGAAGTCATCTATTATTACGATGCCGGATTATTTGCATTTTAGGTTTTGAATACATATGTCTTAAACCAAAACCCATTGCCATCAAGTCGATTCCAACTCATAGCGACCTATATATAGGACAGAGTAGAACTGCCCCATGGAGTTTCCGAGGAGCGCCTGGTTGATTCGAGTTGCCGACCCTTTGGTCAGCAGCCGTAGGTCTTAACCTCTACGCCACCAGGGTTTCCACATATGTCTTAGCTCGGCCAAAAATACCTTTTTCTCTGTCAAGTACGTACTTGTGGCATGGCCTAGTTTTTCTACCATTTTCCCCAGATGTTCCTCTGAGCAACCTCTTTATCAGGGTATATTTAAGACTACATTTTGTTAACTTCAGTCCACTAGGTCTTCTAAGTAATTTCGAGAAAATAGTTTGCATAAGCCCAGAGTCTTAGAGTGGAAGGAAGGCCCAATGAGGGAACTAACTTTTTTGAGTGTGCAATCTGTACGAGGCCCTGTGTTACAGGCTTTAATATATTGTCTCGTTTAGTTCTTACTGAAATTCTGAAGGTAGGTGGTATTAGTCACATTGTACAGAGGAGAAAACAGAGGCTCAGGAAAAGTTAGGAAATGTAGTCCAGTCGATACAGCTAGTAAGTGGCAGTATGAAGATTTGTACACAGTCTATCTGTCCTCACGTGCTGCGCCATATTGCCTCTCACTGAGATGAGACCACCAACAGGCCTGGTCTACTCTGCTTCAGGGATTGGGTCAGAGGCCTTCGCCTTTACCTAAGACTTTCTGAAGTGAAAGGAAGGAATTTTGCCCTATAAGAACAGGGTTGAGTTTTTTTGTTTTGTTTTGTTTTGTCTTTGTGCTTAGTTTTTATACTCATGGGTTTAGATTGTACATCACTCCAACTCATGGTATCATGGGATAGAAGTTACAGATGAAATCATTCAAATCTTACCTTTGGAAATATAGGTCAATTCCCATGTCTGTGAACTCCAAGTTTCATATCAAATATTGCTTAAAGTACCCGGGCTGTCAGCCAAAGCTTGAAAGGGTTTTTGTTATACAGACATCTTTGTTGTAACGTTATCTGTTGTGATGGGATTTGAGCTGTATAATGACATTCCTCTCAGAGGGATTACAGCCTTCAGCTGCTTACATATATAGAAAGCAACAAGCACCCCTTTTCTTTACACTGATACCTACATATGCCATATGTTATTTGCCTGCTCATCTGTAAAATTGGACCCCAAATTTACATTGGCCCTGACTCTGTCAGGAGAGTACAGTTACCATGTTTTCCTGGGGCTGATGTCAGAGCCTCAGAAACTAGAATTATTGGAGGCACTATCTAATCATGGTATAAATTATCTAAGTAAAACTTTTGGAGAGTCTTGATTCATTGCCTTACTGACATGGATGGTTCCAAGAAAAGAGACAAAGTCAGGCTATTACCTAATCCAGTTGAATTAGATTCTTTTTCTTACTCTGTATTTATATTCTGTCTAGTGCTGATGCCTAAAACTTTGTTCTATTTTTGAAATCATTCTGTAAGTGTTTGAGGCTAAGCCATTTCTTTTCTATAGATACATGTATTAACCAAACAGGCTCAGCAAATCCGAGAAATCCAGCTAAGTAAACTATCTCACCTACTAGGACTTATGGAGGGGATGTTTCATTTAGTGGTTATTTGATAAGAAATACCACGTAGTAGTTAAGAACATTGTTTTTGGAGTCAGACAAGCCTAAATTCAGTTTCTGGCTCTGCCACTTTCTAGGTGTTGGCCTTGGGCACCCTTCTTACTCACATCTGAAAGTAGAGACAGTCCTCATAGGGTTGCTGAGATAACACAAGTTGTGTGCTTTGCACAGAGCTAGACTATGGTAAGCACTCAGTAAACATTTCTGCGGTGATTGTTATTATTACAGTTATTAATATTATCATTACCTATAAGAAATTACAATCTAATAAGGACAATGAGGCAGGTATACAGGTAACTAGAAAATAAAAGAGCATGAGATAAGAGTAAGTTAGTAAGACATGAGCATATTTGAACTCTGGAAATTCAGAGAAGGCATGGTTAACTTGCAGCTATGGAATTAGGAAAAGGTGACATCTTTACCAAATCGTGAAATATAATACATATAAATAAAGATTTAAAGTGGGTGAACTGGCTTGATTCAGGCATAGAGGTGGAAAAATGCAGGGCATATTCTAGGAACTGTGAATTCTCCCAGAGTTCACAGGAAACGTGAGATAGATGAAATAGAAGAAGGGAAGATAGAGATGCTTAGAAATATAGGGATGGGCCTGTTCTTAGAGGGTCTTAATTTCTAGGCTAAAATAAATATTTGAGTCTTATTTGTTAGAAATTGAGGATCTATGAAGGGTATTTTAGAAAGGCTCAAGGAGGCCAGAAGACAAGTGCAGCATGTTGACTTGTGTTGAGTGAAGTACATGGAGGCCTGAACAAGGACACCGTCTTCCATGGAAATAGAATTGAATAATGCAGATATGACAGTGATGAAAGGAAGGGGACTTGATAACCAAATTGGGGCAATGATGACAGGGAGGTTTTGGCCTAACTGGGAGAATGGTAAAGCAGTCAGCAGTGCTGGGAATGGGGAAGGGGAGAGCTTTTAAGTTCAGTTTTGATTGTAAGTTTGAGGTGCCACAGAAGAGATGAATGATGCAGACCAAGAAAAGCCATTGGATTTGGTGGTTGGTAAGACTTGAGAGCATTTCGGAAGTAGGGTGGAGGTTGGAGTGAGAAGAGGTATCGCATAGGTCTACATGTGGGACTGCGAGTGTAGACCACCTTTTCTAGTAGTCTGGTCATGAAAGAAAAGAGAACTTAGAAATGTAGTTTTTTGTTTTTTTGGTTTTTTTTAAGGCAAATGATAAGATAGAGCGAAAGGAAATGGTGAAAGTATAAG